ATCCAGCTTTTATTCTGTTGCCAGCCTTTTGAGTGAAGACAAGTGCAGAGGTAACCAAGCCAACATTTCCTTACCATTTCAAGCCTTTTCCAGTCTATCTTTGGCTTGAAATACTCCAAAGAATTCTTTTAGAAACAGCATCTTAAAAAAAAAAAAAAGAAGCCCACGACCTCATTGAGATCTCTGAGTTTTTCTTGCATCTGCGTTCTTCTTGGTTTTAATTATTTGACTTTTCAGACAAAGCTTGGGACCGGATCAAAATCTGCTTCCCCACCCCAAAAGGAATTCAAATCAGAGTAACATGAAATGAGAGAAAAATTTATGTCTGTAAATAGAGTGATGACTTCCAGATTGAAGAGTGAAAAAAAGTGATTTTGAACAAGTAGGTGATGGGTACAGAAAAATCTGAAACTGTGGATATATTTGATTATATCGTAGCCTAGTCCAGGGGTAGGCAACCTTGGCTCTTTTATGATTCGTGGACTTCAGCTCCCAGAATTCCTGAGCCAGCATAGCATAGCTGGCTCAGGAATTCTGGAAGGTGAAGTCCACGAGTCATAAAAGAGCTAAGGTTGCCTACTAGTCAGAGTAAGATGAAGGCTTCATAAAGTTAAGGAGTCCTCTGGAGATTGAGATGCTAGATTCAAAGGTCTCTTATGCTATTTCCACATAAATAATCCCCAGCCACCATAATAATTCTACCTCAGATTTCTGGGATTCGTAGTCAAATGTTTCTAAAGGAAACTGCACTGCACTTTATCACCAAAAGAAAGTTGCTAGCCATTTTTATCATTTTAATGAGGAGTAAACGGGTTGAAATGACAGTCACTGTCTCTCCTAACATAAAACATTAATACTACATCAAGAGGAAAATTAAGTAATAAAATAGCAATATATTTTCAGTATCTCCCGCTTATTTTTCTTCATTGTTTTCCAACTGAACTAAGATTTTGGTGGCAAAAATGTGGCTTTATGTGACTGACATCTGAATGCTTCTCCAGATGTTTCGGTCTGTTTCCAAAATGGAAAGCCATTTATACATAGCTTTGCTCAAAAAGTAACAATCTGGCAAGTAAATAAGGCATGAATTTCCCCACCACTCATAATCCTTTCCAAGGGGGTCACAACACATTTGAGTGGGCAGATCAAGTTCCTATTGATGACTCAGAATAAGAAACAAGGTTTGGGGAACAAAGAAAGCAAAAACAAAATCCAGATTTCTGAAAAGGTATACTGACTTTTTATAATTGTGTTTCGATTCTGCTTTCTTAAGATTTTCATCTACCTACCTACCTACCTACCTACCTACCTACCTACCTACCTACCTACCTACCTATCTACCCACCTACCTACCTACCTACCTACCTACCTACCTACCTACCTACCTACCTATCTATCTATCTATCTATTTATCTATCCATCCACCTATCTATCTATCTATCTATCTATCTATCTATCTATCTATCTATCCATCCATCCATCCATCCATCCATCCATCCATCCATCTATCTATCTATCTATCTATCTCTACCCACCCACCCATCCATTCTTCTTCATACTGCTGGAAGCTTACAGCAATTTTCTGATCCATTAGATGCAGCACTATCAACTTGGTGCGGACTCTTAGCAATCACCTACATATATTTTCTCAACAGCAATCAGTTGCTAACCTGGTTCTTTAGCAATTCCAACAGTGTCCTCTTTTGCCACTGAAGCTGAGAATTCTGTTCTCCCTCTCCCTGCTTCAAGACTGAATATGTTCTCCAGGATTGGAAAAATGTATCAGAAGGGAAAAGGCCAGTGGATCAGGCTCATGTCTCCATTTCTCAAAGAATGCAGTTCTGCTCCCAGGATTGCCTTCAATAGGAGCTCCTAAGGTGGGTGAATTTGAAATGGCAACCTTGAGAATTTTCTGATTATTACTACAGGGCCGCTGAGTTATGGGATCAGGAACATCTTTTGATTCTCAATTTCTAATGGTACCCTGCACCCAACCAACTTTCTGTTGGGCTTCACCACACCGGGGGTCTCCAAACGTAGTTGCTTTAAGACTTGTGGACTTCAACTCCCAGACTTCCTCAGCCAGCCATGGGAATTGGGAATTGAAGTCCACAAGTCTTAAAGTGGCCAAGTTTGAAGACCCCTGCACCCCACCTTCAACTCTAGCAACCCCAAATCCTTCTTGCTTGTACTTTTGACTTTTGTGTGTTTTGCTGCCTTTATACAACCAGCAATTAAAACAAGCCTTGCTTTTACATAATTGTTATTGACTACTTTTCAAGATTCCACATCCTCCCGGATGAAACTGACCCACTACTCTCCTCTCAAGCCCCACCCTTATCAACGTTCTTATTCAACCGCTGCCAAAAATTCCTTAGGAGCTCAGTCAGTGGGGAGAGCTTTCCTGTTGCCTTCAGCAAATAATGACCCCATTCCTCATTCTTCCCTTACCTTTGTAGCTGTGTGCTTGAAATACAAATATGAAAATCAAAGTTTGGACAGGTGAAGAACTGTCCATTTCTATGTGCTGCCTTAGAAATTATGTACACACAGAGCAAAGTGCAGATCTGATACTGTCTATCCATATGCTGAAGGTAACAAAGAATAGAATGAATGTTCCTTCCTTCCTTCCTTCCTTCCTTCCTTCCTTCCTTCCTTCCTTCCTTCCTTCCTTCCTTCCTTCCTTCCTTCCTTCCTTCCTCTGCACACATGGATAAAAACAAATAATACCATGGACATTTCTCAAACCAGAGTTGTAGTTGCAAGTATTCAAGATCAGTCTCAGATTTCTTTCATGGGAGATCTTCTAGTCCAGGGGTAGGCTGGCTCAGGAACTCTGCGAGTTGAAGTCCAGGAGTCATAAAAGAGCCAAGGTTGCCTACCCCTGCCCTAGATAGATCAGTCATGTAGACAAGCTGATTTCTGTCCAAGGGTCCTTGCGCTGGTTCCAGGGACTCAGCCTGAACTTCCATGCTAGACAATCTATACTTTGAATCTCCTGGTTGCAGGAAAGAGCATCAGCTCACGAAGGGAGGCTAGACCAGCTCACTGTGCAGCCTGGAATAATTGTGTTTGCCTTCTAATTAAAGATGGGAGGGAGGAAGCACTGCAAGTAGTTTTCTGTGCTCGTGGGTGGGGAGAATAGAGGCAACTTGGTTGTTGCCTAATTAAGAAACCCCCTCCAAGATGGGTCCCCTGCTTCCGATGGGGGAGGTTGCGTATACAAGTAGTCCTCCCTTTATCATTACAAATGGAACCAGAGTTTTCGTTGCTAAGCAAAGCAATCGTTAAGTGAGTCACATCGGATTTTATGACCTTTTTGGCATGGTTGTTAAGCTGCAGTTGTTAAGTGAATCACACACTCATTAAGCAAATCTGGCAAAGATGATTAGGGGTCTAGAGGCTAAATCACGTGAAGAACGGCAGGAGTTGAAGCCCACGAGTCATAAAAGAGCCAAGGTTGCCTACCCCTGATCTAGGGCAGCGGCTCCCAACCTTTTCTGTACCCTGCACCCCTAGAACGCTTCTGATGTACTCTCACACCCCTTACAAAAGTTAGAAATAACAGCAACAAATGATGCATATACACTATAATTTTGAAAACCCAAGTTTTCGCACCCCCTGGAATATCGTCTTGCACCTGCCCAGGGGGTGTGAGCACCCCTGGTTGGGAAACCCTGATCTAGTGCCTGCCTGCCTGCCTGCCTGCCTGCCTGCCTATCTATCTATCTATCTATCTATCTATCTATCTATCTATCTATCTATCTATCATCTATCTATCTATCTATCTATCTATCTATCTATCTATCTATCCATCCATCCATCATCTATTCCAGTGGTTCTCAACCTGTGGGTTGGGACCCCATTTGGGGTCGAACAACCATTTCACGGGGGTCGCCAAACAACGCAGTCCGCCATCTTTTCCCCCCTTTTCCTTAGCTGTGCTACTCCCTTTTATTCTATTGGCTTTTGAAAGCCAATAGAATAGACTCTCTTGAATAGAGTCTATTCTATTGGCTTTCAAAAGCCAATAGGAATTGTCCAGGCTGTCTCTGCCCTGCTGAGCCCGCCAAAAGTCCCAGTCTGCAAACGGTGCTGCACCAGTTGAGTAGTCCTTGATTTGTGACCGGTTGAGTAGTCCTTGACTTACAACTGGTTGAGTAGTCCTCGACTTATGACCGGTTGGGGGTCGCGGCATTAAAAAGGTTGAGAACCACTGATCTATCTATCTATCTGTCTGTCTGTCTATCTATCTATCTATCTATCTATCTATCTATCTATCTATCTCTCCATCCATCATCTATCTGTCTGTCTTTCTGTCTATCTATCTATCTATCTATCTATCTATCTATCTATCTATCTATCTATCTATCTATCTATCTATCTATCTATCTATCTATCACTGTTCTCTCTTCATGTGCAGCACCCCTTGCCAACACTTGTGGGAATCAGGGACCATTAATAGATTTGGCTATAAACAAAACATAACCCCAAAACAATAGGATCAGAGAACCAAACTTTAATTAGAGAGAAACGAGGAGAGAGAGAGAGAGAGACAGAGACAGAGACAGAGACCGAGACCGAGACAGAGAGGTGCTACAAAACGTTCCCCCTTTAAAAAGAGAGACACAGAGAGAGATAGAAGAAGAAGAAGAAGAAACGAGGATGGGGGGAAGGACGGTGGGCGAGGGAGAATCACTCCAGTCAGCTAAACTCGGGCAATCCGGCCGAGCTCCCGCGCTGCCTCTTTAAATCGCGGGCGATGTATTCGGTGCCGAAGCTGCAGCGCGGAACTCCGCGAGCTTCAAGTGGCTGCGGGCAGACCCAATAAGAGCTTTCAGCACCTCCCCTTGGAAACCAGCAAGAAAGTCTGATTACAAACCTTTGGCTCCGTCCGGGGGGGGGGGGGGGAGAGAATTGGCACATGACAGCCCTGTATATAAAGCCTTAACGAGCCCAGCGCCTTTTGGAGAAGCCAGGTGCTGGGCGCGGGGGGGAAAAGGCCCGGAGGCGGCGGCGGCGGAGAACGAGAAGGAGAGCAAGGAGGAGGAGGAGGAAGAAGAGGCGAAGATGCCTCTTTAAAAGCCGAGCAAGGCACCGGAGGGCGGAACGGGCGCCGCTCGGGGCTCCGGAGCCGCCCGGGGGAGTCTGCCTTCCGCCGGGCGGATGCGCAAGTGACCCTCGGCGCCCAGGCGAGCCGGCTTCCCCCTCCGGGCCAGGCGAGCCATGCCGCCTCTCTTGCGGGGCTCCTTCTGGCTGTGCCTGCTGGCTCTGCTGCCCGGCCCGGGCGCGCCGATGCCGTCGGAGATCGTGACTCCCATCCGCCTGGACCCGGATCTCAACGGGCGGCAGTACTTCCAGCGGGGGGCCGAGGAGCCCCCCCAGCCCGGGGCCATCTTCCAGATCGCCGCCTTCCAGGAGGATTTCTACCTCAACCTCAGCCCGGATGCCCGGTTCCTGGCGCCCGCCTTCGCCACCCGCTACCTGGGCGCCCCGCCGAGGGCCGAGCCCGGGGACTGGCGCCGCTGCTTCTACTCCGGCGACGTCAACTCGGACCGGGACTCCTTCGCCGCCCTCAGCCTCTGCGGAGGGCTGACCGGCGCCTTCGGCTACCGCGGGGCCGAGTATCTCATCAGCCCGGTCCGCAACGCCAGCGGCACCCGGGCTGGACGGCCGCTGCGCAACAGCCAAGGAGCGCACCTGTTGCAGCGGCGGAGCGCGCCTCGCCACGCCGCGGCCACCTCGCGCTGCGGGGTGGAGTCCGCCTCCCACCCGGCCCTGGCGCAAGCCCTGGAGAGGTACAAGGGCTCCGGGCCCGGCGGCGGCGGCGGCGGCGGGGCCAAGCCGGCCCAGAACGAGACGGCGGGCCGGGGGCTGCCCGCGTCGGCCAGGAAGAGCGGCCGCGCCAAGCGCTTCGTCTCCATCCCCAGGTACGTGGAGACGCTGGTGGTGGCCGACGAGTCCATGGTCAAGTTCCACGGCGATGACCTCCAGCACTACCTGCTGACCCTGATGGCCACGGCCGCCCGGCTCTACCGGCACCCCAGCATCCAGAACCCCATCAGTCTGGCGGTGGTCAAGTTCCTGGTCATCGGGCGGGACGACAAGGGGCCCAAAGTGACGAACAACGCGGCGCTGACCTTGCGCAACTTCTGCGTCTGGCAGAAGAAGTGGAACAAGGGCAGCGACAAGCACCCCGAGTATTGGGACACCGCCATCCTCTTCACCAAACAGGTGGGAGGGAGGAGGGTGGGGGGGGGGGTCTGGAGCGGGGCCGGAGGGACGGGACGGCCGGGGAAAGGCGCTGCCGCTCCCCTGCGCTCTCCGCTGCTTTGGAGGGGGGCTCCCGACCCCTCGCCGCTTTGGGGGCCACCTTGTCTTCCCTTCTGGGTGCTTCTGCTCCTCTCCTCCCTTGAGAGCTGCGTGGCTTTGCAGGCGGGACGGGGGAAGAGATAACTGTCGCCCCTCCCCGCCTCCAGAAGCACTCAGCTCCCCCCCCCCCCGTGTTGGAGCAACTGTCTTCGCAGCAGGACCAGGCGGGGAGGAGGCGCTGTAAGAATCCAGATGTGGTGCAGATGATGCACACTTTTGCAGGGATGGTGGTGATGGAATCCTCCTTGCTCCCTGGCCTGGCTTTCTTTCCAGCCTTTTCTTAGGTAGCAAACTCGATCCCCCTGGAAGCAAGGCACAGTAGGCTGGTAGCTTCCAAATAAGCAGGGAGTGGGGGTTGAGGGTGGGTCTACGTCCTGTCCAAGACCCCTTGAAACATGTGCCCATTAGGGAGTGAGAGCTTCACCAGCTACTGTGTCAGTGGAAGCTTGCCTGCTTGATAGGGGGCAGATGGTACAAATTGCTTGTATGGACACACTTGTAAAGGGAGGCCAGGTAAGTCAGCCTGGTTGACTTCATGGATATATCCATCTTTCATTTCCTTGTGAGCAGCATGGAAGAGGTTTTGACTTTTGCTTTCATCTCGATATTATCTTCTCAGTCAAACATACGTTTCTCGGTCTTCTGTGTGCTCTCCCATCCCGCAGCTCACTGGATCTAGCTGGACCATCTGCAGGGGAAGGTCAACTGGGTGCTGTCACTTAGTGGGATGAGCTTTATGGGCCAATGACACTCGGAACAGGGTTGTCCAACCTTGGCAACTTTAAGACTGTGGATTTCACTTTCCCAGCCTTTGGGGAATTCTGGGAATTGAAGTCCACAAGTCTTAAAGTTGGCCAGGTTGGACACTCTTGCTCTAGAACGTCTTGCTTTGCTGGGGGAAGGCAACAAGTGACTTATGGATAGTTCCTGGGAAGATCATTTCAGGGCAGCTCACCTCCTGCAAAGCTTACGTTTGTGATTCTCTGCAGACATTGACTGTCAGTCTGACATGCCTGAAATTCCTTCTGAACCTAGTTTTGAGGTGGAACATTTTTGGCATAGTTTATAGTGAGACCAGTAAACAGGTCGTGGGAAAAAGGCAGAATTGGAAGAGGCTACCTTGTTGACCAAGAGCTATGCCAATTGCTAAGGGCATGTCAGAATCTTCCGTTCTTTCTTCCTGTTGCTAGATGTCCAGTCTGATGGCTCCATGGATGAAGCTGAACTACCTACCATCTCCCGATCCGTAGAGTTCCATCTGTAAAGGCAATAAATGGTTTCACTTATAGGGAAGACAAACAAAGGGGGTGGGGAGGGCAGACCTTGTGAAGTGTACACAAGCTGTAATCGGTGTGGATTAGAAGACTTTCTTGATGCTTCTTGTAGCTCTACTTCTTCTGCTCTTGACTTAGAACAAGTGTAGGCAGCCTTGTGTTTCAACTACAACTTCCACAGTTTGTTGCCTAACATGGGTTAAAGTTTAAAACATCTGAAAGACTCCAGGTTGCTGATTACCCCCAAACTCTAAGGTCATCCTCTGATCAGACAACAAGTTTAGGACAAAACATTTCTTTGGATAGAATGACTCAGTGGGTTTTCTTGTTACAAAGATTAAGAATTCAGGATGGAGAGCTATGATTTTCTCTAGATCTTCTCACAAAACTGCTCTATGGTCAGAAGCAGTTAAGTCCTTCAAATTACCGTTGAGTAGTTTCCCTAAACTTGGAGCTGTATAGTTACTGTAGGTCAGTGGTTCTCAACCTGTGGGTTGGGACCCCATTTGGGGTCGAACGACCATTTCATGGGGGTCGCCAAACCACGTTGTCCGCCATTTTTTCCCCTTTTCCCTAGCTGACCTACTCCCTCTTATTGGTGGCCACACCCACTTGGGAGTCACCACAACATGGGGAACTGTATTATGGGGTCACGGCATTAGAAAGGTTGAGAACCACTGCTGTAGGTGATTACAACCCTGCTCAATCAGCTCCCCAGGAATGTCTGCAGGACTGAGGAATGATGGGAATTGTAGTACAAACATTTGCTCTGAGGCTGAAAAAAAAGCAAGCAAGAGAACTGGGCTATATGAAGCTCCTATGTACTCATTTATTCAGCGCTCTTATTTTCTTACATATTCAGTGGAGCCAGGAAATCATTTTCCTTTCTGAACTCACTCAAACAGCAGGATACAGCAGCCTCTTCCTTTTGAAAGCCTTTTTGGGTACCTTGATTGAAAGAAGGTCTAAAGAGAATTGAAAGCAACTGGAGCTTTTTCTCTTTCTTCCAAGCATTTCCAACTATCTTCTTTTGGTTTTATTTCCCTCCAAGTTTAATTTATTTTCTTTTTGCAGAAAAGGAAAACACAGAAAGAAAAATAGAAAAGAAAAAGAATATAGCAAAGAAAAAGAAAAAAAATACATAAAGAAAAACATCCACCTTCATCACAAGTATAAGCAACTTAGAAAAAAAAGGGTTTTTTTTACCTTCTCTGCAAATGAATCTCTACTTCCTAGATCTCATTTCTTACTCATAAATAAATCCTTAAAGCCATGTCATTCAGTCCTGGTCAGCCAAATTCCATTAAGGGTGAGCAGAGATAACAATATATCTATTTTAACCTTGATCAAATGAACCAACTTTATATTCCTCCCTTTTACTTTTAACAATCTTGATCTTTAGTGTCTTCAAATAATGTCCTAGAACTTGATTTCTCTTCATTTTTCCTTTGTCCCTTCTCACAAAATTCTCCAAAGCTTTAACAAGTTCCTTTGTTAAATTCAATATAGGAAAATTACTCAGGTGACTTGTTATTTGTATATCCCTTTTAACTATTAAGACATCAGCTGATTTCTTTTGTATGTTCAGCATCACATTTTCTCCCCCTGTATCTTTCTTTTAGCCTGCCATTATTTAAATCCACTTTCAGATCAATCTCAATCTTGTCTGGCAAAACTTGTTCCTCTTCCAAAATTTCCTTTAAATACTGTCTTACTTTATCTTCAGGGTCCTTTATCCAAAAATATCCTCTGGTATGTGTAATATTAAAATAATTTGCTTTGTTCCGCAATAACAAGTCGAACTTAAACTTCTTTCATTAAAGATTGAAGGAAATTTATCCAGCGCTGTAAAACCTGTCAATTCAAAAGTTCCTAATAGCTAAAAAGCAATTAACAAGCAATTCACGAAAATGAATAGAAAAGTACGTCTGTGATCCCAGTGTCCTTTTGAACGTGTCAACTATTGTTTGAGCAAAAAGATGGCTATTCCCTAATCTCCCAGAGCTCTAAATGCACTGTAGACCTCTGTCTCATGGTATCCTCATGACACAAAATGGTATGGAGCCATAGTGGGTGATCTCAAGTCTTCTCCTTATCTGAAGAGGAATGACAAAAAGCCAGTTTAATTGCCGGCTCTTCGTTCTGCTGGCATCATTGGCTCTGCTTTTAGTGGAGCTGTCTTCAGTTTACCATTTCTTCCCTGGAGGTCTCATTTTTCATGGGAAGATTTATTTACTGCTGGGGTAAACAACTCTATTTCTCTAATTGCCCAGACTCTTTGTCCTTCAAGGGAAATCCTGTGATTTGTTCTTAATTAGAGAAGGATTTGCTACTCTATTCCTTGCAATGTGGTTTCTTTTCCTTTCATTTGAGGCTTAGGGGCTATCCTTCACAAACCCAGGGAGAGTGTGGGTGTCATTCAGTCGCACCATACTTTAGAAACATCACAATCCTCACAGCTTCCTCCTAGTATATCCTGAAATCAGATGTTGGACTTCTTTTTTTAAAAAATGCCTCTCTGGTGTCACCCTTCACTTCTTTTGTATGGACGCTGACAACTTGATTATACCTTGTGAAAGGTCTGTGTGATAGATTCTTGACCAATAGGAAAGCAAGTTCTCAGTTTGTTGTGAGTCCATATCAATCACCATATCAATTTAACAACAGCACTTAGACTGTAAAGTGCTTCACAGCACTCTCTGGGGGGGCTTGACAGAGTCAGCCTATTGCCCCCAACAATGTGGGTCCTCATTTTACTGACCTGGGAAGGATGGAAGGCTATGTCAACCTTGAGCCATCCAGGGTCGAACTGTTTGCTGTGGGTAGAGATTGTTTGCATTCTAATTACTGGGATTTAAGCGGGTAATGGGCTTCATGTTTCACTGAGGACTTTCTTGGTACACGCAAGTTGAACATTTGTGGTTCCTATCATTCCCATACATGGCAACAGACTCAGTTATATTTGTGGGAGATGTTTCCACACCTCTGATCTAGATTTCTCACTTTATACGACAGAAGCTTTAATCAAAAGCCTTGTATTCCCATTTTCTTCACTTCCTTATTTTTCCAGGTTTCATTTCATCCGTAGTGTTTTCGTCTTTTGTTTGTTGGTGCCCTTTCCCTGCCAGGCAATCCTTAGATTAGCTGGGCTGTAATTCTCTTAATGTCGCCATCCTGGAGATGATGGAAGTTAATTGTCCAACCTAACCTGCTCAGTATGGCTGGTGACTACTACTAATCAATTAAATTGGGCTTTGTTTGGGGTCCAACATGGGAAAATTACCTTCCTTACAGCTTTGCAAGTTCAGTCTCAAAGACACTACTTCCCTTTTCAGAAAAGGAATGGAATATAACAGAATAAGAGAGTTGGAAGGGACTTGGGAGGTCTTCTAGTCGAGCCCCCTGCTCATACAGAAGACCCTATACCATTTCAGTGTTGGAGCATTCACAACTTCTGAAGGCAAGTTGTTCCACTGATTAATTGTTCTCACTGTCAGGAAATTCCTCCTTAATTCTAGGTTGCTTCTCTCCTTGATTAGTTTCCATCCGTTGCTTCTTGTCCTACCTTCAGGCGCTTTGGAGAATAGC